GTCAAGGCGTTTGCATTTAATTCTCAGGATAACCCCGGGAGGTCAGTTTTCTACAGCTTTGACTACAGACGAAGCCACCAAGGCTCAGAGAGGTGATGCGAGCTGTCCAAGGCTTCAGCACACAAGAGGCAGAGCTGGCGTTTGGAGCCAGGCTGCCGAGGACGGCGGGCTGTGTGATGATGATGGTTTTACTTCTGGTCTCTAAGACTGTCTTTTGGTTGCAAAGGGCAGTGCTGGGCTGCAGCAGGGGCGGCGCGGGGCTGCCACCGCCTCCTGTGGGCTTTACCTCTGTTCTGGGGGTGAGGGGTGCAGCCACTGGGCTGGAGCCGGTGGGTGCAAGGATGCCATGGAGATAGGTGTCCCTGAGACGGGGCCCCTGGGGCTCATGGCACCTACCCACCCCTCCCTCGAGAGTTCCCTGGCTGGCTGAGAATTGAGAAGCCCGCACTGGGTGGGAGCTGCCTCCCACTGAGCCACTCGTGGACCACACAGCACCTCTGAGGAGCACGGTCCTGGTCTGGGTCCCTTGGTGGGAGTAGGGAGGGGCTCAGACAGAAGGGACAGGGCAATGACAAGGTGGTTCCCACTTGGTCACTTCTACCCATTCTTAGGGGGTAACCAATCACAACACTCATGGTGTTACCTCCTCCAGGGGCACTGGCTGGATTTCTAGGGCTGGGTTGCCCCGACTGTGGGCTATCCCCCCTACTCCTCTCCTCTCTGACGGACACTAACCATGGAGTCATGTTGTTGTCTGGTGACTTCTCCATGGCCCCATTTCCTCTTTGAAGGCAACGGCCCTCACCTTTCACTGCAGGTGACAATGGGTGGACCATGGCAATAGGAACAGCGGCCGCTGTTTCTGGGACACTCGCAGCGTCACACTGTATGTGATAAACTTGATGCCTGAACTTCCCTGAAGCCTTGCCACAGCCTTAGGCACAAACACTCTCTCCATCTTAGGCAGGAGGATGCTCAGAGACTTTGAGTATCCGGCTCAAGAACACACAGCACATGACAAAATGGAAGCTTGAACCACAAGCAGCGTCTGGAGCTCACATTCTCCAGAAAGGATGGGAGACGAGGTGCTGGCTCCCTCCCCCACCCCCATGTACACAGCAAGAGACGGGGCGCAGGTGTCCACCTCCCTGCCCCTCCCTCCCCGTCTGTTTGCTCTTTGCTGACGCAGCCTCTGCTCCTCCCAGGGCCCCTGGCCCCGGCTGCCCATGGGTGCTGCCCCCAGGATTCCATTGAGTGAAGTCATCCCACAGCCGGGCTATGCTGCCACCTGGGTGATCTCCAGGCCCAGCTGCCGGGCTTGTGTGCTGATTCGATCAGCTCGTCTCGTCCTCGCTGCTGATGAGCGCCGGCCACGGCCACCAAACACCATTCTACTGCCCGAGACTGTGTCATCGTTTTTAGAATGGACGTTACGGTAATGTCTCGCATGAGAGTCTCTGATCGCGCAGGTCGCTGGGGCGGCTGGGCCCAGGCCGTAGAGCACAGCCAGGGCCTCCTTTGTAATCCTGGGTAACTAAAACCCACTGCCTTTATTCAGTGTTGCCAAGTCTCCCACCTGATGGACAGCACCGGGCCCATGGGCAACTGACTTGCCAGTCCTTATGGAAACGCTAGGTGGGGAATGGAGCGTGCGTGGGAGGGCTTTACCTAGAGATGTTTGATCTCTTTTAGAAGCAAAAACTGCTGGCATCTGACTATTTCAGAAGAAAACAACACCCACCCAACATTCACAGTAACGCCAGTGAGGAAGCAATTCCAATGTTGCAGGCATCGCATCAGATAAGAGCTTCCTGGCAAACTGCCAGACAGGTAGTGTTCCCATTTCAAAGATGAGAAAGCTGAGGCTCAGAGACAGCAGCCAGCTGGCCCGAGGCCACCTGCTAGAAGTGGAGGCACCAGGACTTCTCCGTGTCGTTAGACCCCAAGCCCTACTGTAGTCAGCCTGCACTGGAAGACAGCAAGACATGCAATTGAAATCACCTACCCATATTTAGCCTTTTTTTTTTTTTTTTTTGACAGGCAGAGTGGACAGTGTAAGAGAGAGACAGAGAGAAAGGTCTTCCTTTGCCATTGGTTCACCCTCCAATGGCCGCCGCGGCCGGCGCACTGCGGCCAGTGCACCGCGCTGATCCGATGTCAGGAGCCAGGTGCTTCTCCTGGTCTCCCATGCGGGTGCAGGGCCCAAGCACTTGGGCCATCCTCCACTGCACTCCCTGGCCACAGCAGAGAACTGGCCTGGAAGAGGGGCAACCGGGACAGAATCCGGTACCCCAACCGGGACTAGAACCCGGTGTGCCGGCGCCGCAAGGCGGAGGATTAGCCTAGTGAGCCGCGGTGCCAGCCCACCTACCCATATTTAATGAGCTCCTTTTGGAAAACAGATAATGAAAATAGAAGTGAGTTTAGCCTAGCAGCTAAGACAGCCCTGCGTCTCTTGGGCAGAGTGCCTGGGTCTGAGTCCTGGCTCCACTTCTGACTCCAGCTTCCTGCTAATGCCCACTCTGGGAAGCAGCTGGTGATGGCTCCAGTAATCGGGTCCCTGCCATTATGTGGGAGACCCGGATTAAGTTCCCAGCTCCCAGCTCTGGCCTGGCATAGCCTCAGCTGTTGAGGCCATCTACGGAGTGAAGTGGTAGATAGGAACTCTGCCTCTCTGTCTCTCACATAGGTAAGAGAAAAAGATACCTGAAACATGTTAAGATGAAGCATTCTCTTTCCCCTCTTCTTCTGTTCCCCACTCTGCCAATCTCTCCTTAATCCCAGGAAGGACCTGGGCCTCAGTTCACAGCAGGCCACTCTCCCACACACTGCAGGAAGGCAGAGGGTGACCCAGCGACCAGCTGACCCTCTGCTCATGAGTTCCGGTTTCCCAAGGAACGGCACTGGTGCCCACTGGAGACCTTTACATGACCTATCAGCAGGGATGGCTCCTGACCTTGTGTGTCTAGTTGGGGTTCAAATTCTACCCACAGAACTTATTAGCTATGTGACAGGCATGTGGCTTTAGCTTGCTGAGTCAGAGCTGATAATTCTGGAATGTGGAGTCGCATTATCTTGCTCACCTTATGAAATACACTCCCATGGCACAGGCCAGTATTTCTCTGACTTCTCTAACCTGCGTCTCCTTTGGCCAAACACAAACAAGGGTCCACTCACCCATGAGGGGGCTTCAACAAGTTCATAGAAAAATGGAATTGTAAGTCAAGTTTACCTTGGTGCAAAAAGTTTTGGGACCCATACTCAGTTTGTTTTTTTTTTTTTATAATATGCATTTTCCATGAATCCTTTTGTATGTGATGATTTCATTATTTCTACACCAGGGCAGCCTTACCTTTTAATCTAGTTTCTCGTGAACTTTTTGAAGTATCCTCATAGTTCAAGTGCATCCACAAGCCAAGGACATTTTGTCCAGTTTTCCCACAACATATATTACAAAATGAATGGTTTTCATTTTTGGTTTGTAAAATGTGAAATTTATTAGTATGCTGGCTGCTCTGTTTGGAACTCTCTCTATACAGCCCCCATGCTCCTCTTTCCAGCCTGGTGCACCCCTTCGAAGAGCAAACCCCCTCATCACACACACAACAGGCGGGCCGTGCCTGGTGATGAGTTGCACGTAACAGGCACTCACTAGAGAGTTGGGTCCCTGTGAAAGAATGAGACCTGCAGGCAGATGCTGCAACCAGGGCTACATGGGGGCCATTGACACTACAACTTCAACATACATGCCTGCAAACCCCCACTACCAACCAGACTCCCTATGATGGTCTCTGACAATTGTCTTCATTTTTAAAAAACAGACCTTTATGGTTTTAGGCTTACGGAAAAACTTATCAGAAAATACAGATTCCCACATAGATGCTCCTTGAGTTAGGATGGGGTTATGTCCCAACAAACTCATCGTGAGCTGAACGTATCATTAAGCAGGAAACACACTGACGGTACCTGCCCTCCTGTGTATCCTGGCTCAGAGACTCAGTGCCCTGTGGCCTCCTGGGTGACTGTGGGGCTGGAGCTGTGTTCACCTGCACTGGCCAGCATCACCAGGGAGGACTGGAAAAGCCAAAGAGTCCACCAAATGCCTATCATTTTCACACCATTGCAAAGTCCAGAAACCCACAGTAGGCCCATCAGAAAGCAGGGACCAACTGTAGGCCCCCTCCCGACTCTCCCAGTTTCCCCATCAGTCAGGATCACCCTGGTACAATTGTTTCGCCAGCTGAACTCATGTTGATGCATCTCTATGGCGAAGTCCAGAGTAATGGGCATTAGGGCTCACTCTTGGTGTTACACAGTTGGATGGGCATCCATTTCCACCATGCTGGGGCCGTAGAGTATAATTCCACCATCCAGGGCTCTTCCTGTTTGTGCCTCCACCTTGAACCCCATTCACAAGGCAACATTGACACTGAACTTTTTCAGTGCTGTGTTTCTTGGGGTTTATCACAAGCACATACTGGTTGCTGACGAACACTTTGCTGAATGAGTGAATGCGTGCATGCATGGCTGGAGAGAAGTGGAGGGGAGGGAATGCAGGAGACTGGAGGGTGAGGGTACGAGGCCAATCAACTCTTCCAAATACCAGGGACCTCCCTTTCAAGGACGACAAATGGCAAAGCAAAGCTGAGCGAAGCAGCTGATGGCCCACACAGAGCTATGCCTGGCGGCGGCGGCGACAACAGCAGCCTCCCCTCATCCCGTCAGGCAGACAAGGGCAGGGGCAGGGAATTGATGTCGGCGGAGCCAGGCTTGTCGAGGCACCATCCGTCACTGTCTTAATCCTCGTGACTTTTGCAGTCACCTCCAGATTTTTTGGCCCAGTAAATGATGGAGCAGTTAAATCAAGGCAGGCTCATTAAGGAAACATGCTTCCCCGCGTGTCTGCCCCAGTTACTCCTAAATTTAATCTGCCGAGAGCCAATTTCCAGGACAAACACGCGCTGGCTTCTTTATCTACAGAGCCTCGACCTTGAAGGCACTCGTTGGCCGCAGCCGACCCTCACGTCCCTCTCCCACATCCTGACTCCTCTGAGACTCGAGGAAGGGGTTCTTTTCCTGTGTGCACCCTCAGGCTGGGTGAGGGATCAGAAGACCCCGTGGGCCGCCTGCACAGGGGGCAGGACCCTGGTGGGGCGTATTTCGCTGGCAGGCAGGGCTGGGCCCATGAAAGCACCCTTTCTTCTTGGTCACGGGGCTCTGGGGCAGAATCGGATTGAGTTTCCTTGGCCAACAGGTTGGCTTTGTTCTCTTGTCCAGATTTTCATCTACTTGGCTCCTGAGTTGCTGCTCGGCTGCTTTCTGACCCGGATTCACTGAGCACACATCAGGCCCTCTGTGAGGTTCATGGGAGGGGGGTGGCCCGAGTCCAGGACAGGCTGACAGTGAGGGAACCTTAGGGGGAGGATTCCCAGCCACAGACCAGGCTGGGCCTCTCCAGGGTTCTCTGAAGTCAAATCACCTGTGCAGTGCCCGGCCTTCGGGTCCCTTCCTGCTCCCCAAATGCCTTTCCTGTTGAGGGGTGAACACCCAGGCCCTGTCTGAGGGGTCCAGCATGGCCAGGGTGTGGCTCTGGGGCTGCAGCGCTTATGATCTGGGAGGAGGCCCCTTCCCCCCTGCCTGTCTCTCTCCGGAGTCTCTCCAGACTCCTGCTGGTCCCAGGGCCTTCCATGGCGTAGAGTATGTACAAATGGGTTCTGTGGGCTGAACACACCCGATGGAAACCTCTTTCCCCCGAAGGCTAGGAAGAACACCATTCAAAGGGGAACTCCCTTCTGTTGAGTGGGATTCTGGGTAAAGACAAGGAAGAAAGAGCTGTTGGTGCCGTCATTAATTTCCCGAGAGGAGGTAGGTTCTCTGTGGCTTCTCCTTGTCCTGAGCACAGAGAAAAGAGCTCTGATGCCCCTTCCCCTTCTTATAAGAGCACTAAAACCATCTTGAGGGTCCCACCCCCACTACCTCATTTAACCTGTCACCCCATGTCTCTTTTTCTTTTTTAACATTATTCATCATTCATTTGAATGATAGAGTTATAGAGAGAAAGAGAGAGAAGTCTTCCACCTGCTGGTTCACTCCCCAGATGGCCCTAACAACTGAAAGCTTGGCCTATTGGAAGTGAGGAACCAGGAACTTCTCCTGGGTCTCCCACATGGGTGCAGGGGCCCAAGCATTTCGGTCATCTTCTGCTGCTTTCCCAGGTGCATTAGCAGGAAGCTGGATTGGAAGTGGAGCAGCCCAGACACAAACAGGTGCTCCTATGGAATGGTGGTGCTGCAGACCACAGCTCAACCCTCCTGTGCCACAGCGCTGGCCCCTCTCTGTCTTCTTATCACCACGTTGGAGGTTTGGGCTTCACCGCTTGAGCTGAGGGGTGGTGGGTGGAACATAGCTATTTAGACCATCACGAGTGGGTAGGAGGCCCGAGTTAGACTTTCCCCTGGTTCTCTATTTGTTTGTTTCAACAGGAATTGGCAGGTGTGTTCGAAGGGGAGCCGAGAGCTGCCGGCAGCCTCTGGAAGCACTTTTGCAACAGAAACTAGCAAGGGCGTGGCATCCAAAGGTGCTGGGGTGGCTGGCGTTTCTGTCTCCCTGGGCCTGGCGGGTCAGAGGTCTCCTCCTACCTCCAGTCAGGAAGGCCCCTTGGCTGCTTGTGGAAGATGGACTTTTTCGCTTCTTTTCCTTGCAGGTAAAAGAATGCTGACTAATTGAGAACTGAGCAAGAGGTTGACGTTTTTGAGAGATGGGATAGCCGAGTGGGAGGGAGCAGAGGGACCAGGATGCGGGGTCTGAGGCTTGGTCTCACCACTGATTAATGCAAATTACTCTGGGCAACACCCTTGACTGTGCCTCAGTCGTTTAGCTATAAAATGGGAATAATAATAGCATCTGCCTTGTGTATTTGGTTACGAGGACTAAGTGTATAGAGGGAAGGCGTGTGTATTGGCCCACGCCTGGGGCGCAGTGCGCTCCGTGTGAACTGGCTGCTGTTTTCACCATGCCCCGGGTCCTGTGGCTGTGAACAGAGCCCTCCTTGGCCTCAGTGCTGAAGGAAATGGAACAAACCCTGAGTGACAGAATGACACCGTCTCGTGACCTAATTAGTAGCCAGCTGGGGGACTGCTGCTCTGGCTCTCCGAGGAGGAGCATCTGGGTGCCTGCCGGGTCCTGCCGGGTCTGGGCGCTTGGCCTGAGCTCTCAGGATGGCAGCTCTAAGGCTCACTTGGGGGCCCCTGGAATCCTACTTGGGACAGAGACGCGCAAAGAGCACTGGGGCATGCAGCCTGGCAGCTCCACCCCGAGCTTTCCCCGGGGACATCATGAGAGCGCCCAGGATGGCACCGAGGGAGGTGGCTCACAGCTGGGCACTGCCCGCCAGTGGGCAAAGGAATGTGTCACGTGGGGCCTGTGCTGAGAGGGAAGGGAAGCCAGCCACGTGCACCCCACCCCCAGGGACGAGTCTGAGACACGTTCATGCTGAATTTAGAAGCGTGCGGCAGGTCTCAGATGCACCGGACACAAAGTTTGAAAGCAAACGCGTCAAGCAGAGATTAGGGACGCAGTCACATTTGGCAAACACTCAGAGCTGTGGGTGGGGCCAAGGTGTGTGTGTGGGGGGGCTCTGGCCTGCCCCCAAGTTCCAGTTCTTACGCTGTGCTCCGCTTCAAGTAATCGCGTGCTATAGAGCTGATACAGCTGCCCCTGGGCCGAGATCCTTGCCGCCAAAGTTTTACAGAGGACGGCGGGCTGGTCTTTGCCTTCGGGTTTGTGCGTTATCATGTTCCAGGAAGGTTTTTCAAAAAGTCAGTGGGAAAGACAGGATTAAAAGGAAAGTTTGTGTTGGCACCAAACATTGGGAAAGCCACTCTTAAGGCTCATTTTCCATGCACTTTTTGAAGAGCCTTTGTGAGTATAGATTTCAAGGGTTTAGGGGCATCAAAATAAGCTCATGATTCGGTTTTCCACACACTTTTTGAAATACACTTATATTTCCTTGTCTTTTTTTTTTAATGAGCAAGGATAATTTTAATTTTGCCTTTAAAATAAACAAGTTAAAACGTTTTGCAGGGATTACTTTAAAATTTATTGTAATTTCTTTTTTCAGGGACCGGCATTGTGGTGTAGCAGGTGCCGACACCGTCATCCCAGATGGGTGCTGGTTGAGTCCCGGCGGCTCCACTTCCGATCCAGCTTCCTGCTGATGTTCCTGGGAAAGCAGTGGAAGTTGGCCCAAGTGCTTGGGCCCCTGCACCTATGTGGGAGACCTGGATGAAGCTCCTGGCTCCTGGCTTCTGCCTAGCCCAGCCCTGGCCATTGTAGACACCAAGGGAGTGAACCAGAGGATGGAAGACCTCTGTCTCTCTCTCCCTCTGTCTCTATAACTTTGACTCTCAAATAAATAAATAGATACTAAAAACTACTTGCAGAGCACTGGATTAGGAGTCCAGAGCCCTGAGTCTGGAGCAGCCCCGGTTCATGGCTGCCGCGTCTGCTTGGGCCCCTCAACCCTGGGTCCCTCTACTCAGCCCCGCGGTGATCTCTGTAGTCACAGACAGCATCCCGGCCCCTGCTCCTCTTAACTTTCTGCCTCCTGAAGGCCAAGGCCACAGCACCCTGTTCTCCTTGGCCTTGTATACCCCCTCCTCCTTGGCCACATGTACCCCCTCTTCCTTGGCCACGTGTACCCCCTCCTGCTTCTCCTGTGCCTTTGCCAACACTGTACCTGCAGAACAAGTCAGACCTGGGTGCTGTGTGTGAGACTCAGAGCCCAGCAGCCCAGGCCAGGCTTGGATGGACTCCATCTCCTGCTGTGACTGCTCCCTGGAATGACTTCACTGTCCTTGATTCATCCTGCAGGGTTTATTTCAGGTAACACCTCTTCCAGGAAGCCTTCCCTGATGGGTACCATTTGTTCTCATAACTTCTCTGCTAGTTTATCTCGAAGGGCCCTACAATTTTCGGAGGGCTTGGAAACTTTCTATGTATGCAGCTCCTGCACTAGACTATTGATTCCCTGACAACAAGAGTGGGGTCTGATTTCTCTTTGGATGGTGACTGCACAGGCCCTGGCATGGTAGTGTTCCAATGTCAACCTTACAAGGGCAGCATTTATAATTTTAATGCATTTGCTTTAAGTAATGCATGCTGGTTTATTTAATTAATTCATGCTTATCTGTGTATTGCAAGTACCTAGAACAGTCTCTGGCACACAGTAGACATATCATAAACGGTGACTCTACAAATAAACAGACAAGTTCACAAGAGTGTCCGGAATGAGACCCTGCAGCCTGGGAGCTGTGTGTGCTCAGGTTAGACTCTGAACCTCTCGGAGCCTCCCGTTCTTGCCCTCTCAATGGGAATACTAATAGAGCTGTTCTCGAAGAGTCCCTGTGAGGATGGGTGAAAAGATGCATGGGACAGCATGTAGCAAATGTCAGACACGCAGCCCCAAGCTGGTTGCATGTGAATCCGAGTCTGACCTCCAGGGCCTCAGACAAAGTCCCAGTGGGCCCTGAGGTTGTCCATCTGAGCTGAGTCCCCGCACACCCTCCCTGTGTGGTCCATGGGAAAAGGGGTCGCAGGTCTCTGCTCTTTCTCCTGGGCGAGAGGCCAGTGACCTCTGGGGGCCACCTCTGACTGCTGGGCCGGCGGCTCTATTGTGCAGGCACCGTGGATGGCTGGGCAGCTCCAGCAAGTCCCCAGAGCCCAGCTGGTCAGTGCAGCCAAGGTCATGTCCCCATTCACTGAATGGCTCTTTCTTTAAACAGAGGCAATCTCTTTGGCAGCCACAGGCGGCTCCCAACCCAGCCAGCTGTCTGATGGCTCCCTCAGGTCCCTGCTAGGAAGGGGACTGCAGGCAGAAGGAGCAGCCACGCACACCTGGGTTCTGGGGTTGCCTCCTCTGCCTCTCACTCACTGTGTGATGCAGGACCGGTGGCTCCCCATCTCTGAGTCTTAGTGCTCTGTGTCTGTGAGATGGACAAACAAAGCAGGGAGTAGAGCTGATCTTGTAAAGAGTCACGTGATTATTACATGCATACTATTGTATAGAAATGCGCACTGTGAGAGTTACATACTGAGGAAGCCTGAGGATGGTGATGGCTGTGCATCAGTGTCAAGCTCTGTGCACGTGTGCTCGTGTTGGTGCGTGTGTGCATTTGGATATATATAGACAGACACGGTTATAAATACACAGTGTCGTATTATGTAAGAGAAAGTGACATCACCAGCAAGATGCATTAAAAAATATCTTACTGAGCATGTGTGTAGAAACGAGTGAATAGAGACATTTGGATCTCAGAGCAGTGGACTCATTCTGCCCAAACACGGGTCACTGTCTGGTCCTTGCTAATCTACCCAGAGGTCCCTGGGCGTGGCCTCCGGGCCTGCGGCCCCACTCAGCCATACTGCACTCCGCCAGCTTCCCCTGCTGCTGCCCTACTGGGCTCGGGTCATGCCTCACACCAGGCCCAGCCTCCCTGTTGCCAGCTCTCATGGTGCTGCTGGTTCCTCCTTCACTGCACGTGTGCCAGTGCACACTTCCTGTTATGTGTAATTGTCTCCTCTCCGGACGAGGGGTTGGCCGTGCTGAGGTCAGAGGTCCCACCTGATTTTGTTCTTGGTTTTCTCTCTCTCTCTCTCTCTCTTTTTTTTTTTTTTTTTTTTGACAGGCAGAGTGGACAGTGAGAGAGAGAGACAGAGAGAAAGGTCTTCCTTTGCCGTTGGTTCACCCTCCAATGGCCGCCATGGCTGGCGCGCTGCATCCGGTGCACCACGCTGATCCGATGGCAGGAGCCAGGTGCTTCTCCTGGTCTCCCATGCGGGTGCAGGGCCCAAGCACTTGGGCCATCCTCCACTGCACTCCTGGGCCACAGCAGAGAGCTGGCCTGGAAGAGGGGCAACTGGGACAGAATCTGGTGCCCTGACCGGGACTAGAACCTGGTGTGCTGGTGCTGCTAGGTGGAGGATTAGCCTATTGAGCCGCAGCGCCGGCCCTCTCGGTTTTCTCTTGAGCACCTCTTAGAATGTATGGTGCAGTGCGGGTGCATGATAAAACAGTCACATAAATGAACGGATTGGGGGATGATGACTGGCTGGCTGGCTGACTGGTCAGATGGAAGGGTAGACGGGTGGGCAGAGGAGGAGGACAGCTGGATGAAGGGATGGATGGATGGATGGGTAGTTTGTTGGTTGGAAGGTGGGCAGATGGGCAGATGGACGGATATGAACATCACAGTTTTTCTTACAGAGCTTACTGTTCATTTTGAGTCACAAGATCTAGACACAGAAAATGATCTGTGTAACCCAAGTCATATGGTGGTCAAGGGTCTGTGCGCAGTGCTGGAAAGACGTCTTCCTGTGACAGTGAGGGAGATGAAGAAGGACTCTGTGGCCGGGAAGGGTGGACGCAGACCCGTGACCATGTCTTTGAAGAATGGCCCTTGTTCCTCTGTAGCGGGAGATGCAGCCTCAACAGACACACGGGCAGCCGCTCCAGCCGTGAGCAAGATCTCTGTGTCTCTGCTGGAATTCAATGTGGCCGCGGTTCAACTCCTTGGGTCTTTATTAGACTGACACCGTGCCAGCCCCGTGCCGGGTTCTGAAGACCCAGAGATGAACGAGAGGTTTCCGTTTGAGAGCCTCAGAGTCCAGGGGAGTCAGATCTGTAAACAGTGAAACGAGGCAGGCATAGAAGAGGACCATGAGCCGAGGAAAAGCTGGACGACCCAAGCCCTTGGGTGGTGACAGGTGCTGAAGGAAGGAGTCTGGGAGGAGGTGATGCTTAACCTGATTCCCAGAGCATCCGTGGGAATGTTCCCCTGCACCCCATCTCACAAGAGACTATTTTCTTGCTGGAGAAAAAAGCATAGGCAAAGCCCAGAAGCAGGTGCACCCTTCCTGGCTTCCCGGCCTGAGTGCCAACTGCTTTTGGGGAGAAGCCAGGAGGCTGAGCAGCCACCTGGTTGGTCAAGGGCTTGGGCTTCTTGGTCAAGGGCTTGGGCTTCATTCTGAAGGTGATGGAAGCACTTGATGGCACTGAGGTGGGAGGGAGACCTCGCCAAGCTTGAGACAGAGTGGAAAAGACATGGCGGGGGAGCGGCTGAGCTGGAAGCAGGCAGGCTGGCTGGCAGGCCGTGGCACATTTGCAGGTGGGGAGAGCGGAATCGGGGGCTGAGGAGAGGGGCTCTTAGATGGGACATCTTCATTTAGGCAGCTCTGAGGGTGGGCGGGTGGCAGGTCCAGAGGTGGCATCCCACTGTCCCGAGCAAATCCCGGGGCTAGGGAATTGGTGATTGCTTTTCCTGCGCCAAGAAGCTCAAGAAATCTGACCCGTCTCCATCCCCGACTCCCTATAAATAGCATGCTCCCTATAAATAGAGCACTTAGCAATGCTGTCTGGCCTTGGAGCCTCTGGTCCACTAGGTGAAGAAGGAAGGGCAAGCCAGGCGGGGCTGCAGGGAGGCAGCGGCCTGGACCAGGCTTCCCCAGGAAGGAGTGCATCACAGGCAAGGGGACTTGGGGCCGGGGAATGACGAGGAGAATAATCCTTGGCCGCAGCCAGAAGAAGATGAACAGTGGAGGATGTACGGCCACGAGCAGGATTTTCTATTTCCAAGTGGATGAGGCAAGGGAACATATTTGCCCAGAGAATTTTGAGAGAAGTGACTCAGGGTTGTGCAACAGCAGAGAGTGTGGTGGAGACGGCTTGGAGCATGGATTCATGTTAACAGCGTTTTCTTTCTAAGGTCAGAGATGCATGCCCACAGCCCAGGCCAGAGGGCGCGTGTTCACAACCCCGCAGCTCCAGGGTGATGGCACTCTGCAGGCCACACCAGGCCGTGGTGACGGGGAGACAACAGAGCAGAGTGGGGACTGTGGCCAAGCAGAGAGCAAGGACCCACCAAGGCAGCAGCCATAGGTCAGTTCCAACCGCTGCTGCCAGGTAGCAGTACAGTTCTGGGGTGGCCATGATTTCTGTGTTTTTCCCGAAAAAAATATAAATTTGGATTTTAATAAAAACATGCTGATTTCTCAAACTATGTGGTGCTCACTCTGTGCAAAGAAACAAAACCCATCCAGCCCTGAGGCCAGATCTGCCCTGGGGCACACAGCAGATTAAAGCACTCCAATCAGAATGCCAGTTAAAATCCTGGCTGCTCTGCTTCCAATCCAGCTTCCTATTAATGCACCTGGGAAGGCAACAGATGATGGCCCAAGTACCTGGGCCCCTGCCACCCACGTTGGAGATATGGATGGGGTTCCTGCTTCTTGGCTTTGGCCTGGCCCAGCCTTGGCTGTTGCAGCCATTTGGGAAGTGAACCAGCAGATGGAAGATCTCTCTCTCTCTCTCTCTCTCTCTCTTTGTCTTTCCTTTCTTTTTCACTCTTCCTTTAACTCCAAGGCATGCTCTGTGGGTGGAGAAGCTGACAGCCAAGGGGACGTGCGTGGGGCTGGCCCTGCTGTACCTGACATAGCGTTCCCAAGCCCAAACTGGGCTGCCCCTTACTGCAGCTGGGAGGATGTTTACTTTGCACCCCCCTCGGTGGATTTCCCTGTGTGTATCACAGTGGGGCTATGGATGTGCAAGCAAGGGTGCCAGGGTGCCCTGGGTACACATGGGTGTGCCTCTGTACATGCGGTGTCTTTTTCTCTTTCTCTTGACTGGGCTTGCAGCTGTCTGTGCAAGGATTTATATCGAGTCTATTAGAGCTTTGTGTGAACGGGTGCCCGGAGATGGAGACGCTGAGCTGTGGTTGTCATATCGGTGTGTTATGAGTACCTGAACACGTGCTTTTATGGGTACAGTCG